TCTGGAGCTCCAAGACCCTCTGTATCAATTATCAAGATGGCATCTACTTTAAGTTCTTCACAGAGTTTTTTTTCTAAAAACACAAGCCTCATAAAAAGACCTCGAGTGCAACGACCAACTGACACCGCAAACTTGCATGCAAAAAGAGCATTCAAAAGAGTAGACTTTCCAGATGACTGGAGCCCAAGTATAGAAATTACAAATATCCGCAGCTCAGGGAATCGCTTAGTGACTTCGTTACAAATCGCTGACAGCCAAGTGCCTGACATATTTCCAGCGTCACCATCAAGTAATTCAATGGCATGACCATCAATAAGCAATTCAGCATAAAGTTCTGCGTACTTCAGAACACTTTGAGTAGTGTGGTTTGAATTTGTAAGTGCGATTTCATATATTTCTCCCAATTCACGAAAAAAATGTTCTAATCCCAAACTCATACTATCAACTTTGTCCAGCTTTTTTATAATTTCACCCTTAATGTATTGTAATTGACCCGAGTTTTTCGTCGTCATTCCAGAAATTCGCCATAATTGATTTTTTAATGACATAACTTCTTTTCGAGCTTGAGAGGACTCTTCTGATGAGATATGGTAAAGATCTCTCTCCAAATGAGCCATTGCCTTTTTTCTTATTTCAAGCGGTAAGTGTAAAACTTCTCCGAAGAGCTTTATCAATTTTTGTAATTGAGAATTTTTATTCCATAACTCAAAGCCATCCTCCTTAGAGTCATTATGATTTATCAGGCGTTTTTGAAGCTGCATCATTTGTTTGGTGCCAAGGCATGTATTTTTCCTTACAAAATCTATTACGCGTTGCGACTCTATACAATCAATTCCTTCAGCTAATTTCAATGTCTCTCCTTTCCTGACCTTTTCGAAATCGACTTTCACCGAATCATATTCAAGAGCTTCTTTAATCATCAGGCGTGCCTTTTGTAATTCTTCATCTTTCATTAAATTTCGAGTTTCAATGATAAGATCATCTGTTTCATCATTTTTAGGATCTACCATTGCGTAGACGAACTTTTCCGAGCATACAATCTTAGTAAATTGATCCCATTCTTCTTGTTCGCAGTTTGGCATTACGAAGACCAAGAAACACGATGCAAATTGTTGTAACCATTCAACTTGTTCAAAGTATTCTATGGCATTTCCATGTAGATTTGCTAATAATACAATTTCAGTAGTAGTATTTTTATAGTAGGGTTGCATGACTGATTTCCATAGACCAATACTGCAAGTTTCTTGAATAAGCCACGTTAATTCAACACTTCCAGAAAGTGCATGCGGTGTTCCTCGTGATGCACCTGGTTCACTGGCTGAAGAAAACATGTGTTCAGTCGCCATTAACCGATTTAAAATAGAACTTTTTCCTGGTGTTTTTTGGTTTCCACCAAGTCGAACAGCGACAAGTAATTTAAATGGAC